TAGTGGGCACATATACACATGCAATTAGTGCACATGAATAAACTCTGTAGCTTATTGCTCCAGAGTTTTTGTTCCTGGGTACACCGTTTGAACGTGGAGCAATTAACTCCAGGGTAATAAACTTCAGAGTTTATTCATGAGCAGCATGTGCAGCCTGGTTGGAGAAGTCCCAGCTGGCAAGGGCCCCAGGGGTCAGCTTGTCAGCCTGGGGCTGCTCTGACCAGGCTGAATGTGCTGTAGAGTGGCTGGCTAGGGCACAAGGGTACTTCAGTGCAGGGCTAGCCAGCAGGCAGCCCCACACTGAAGCATCCTTGTGCCTCAGCAAGCTGGGCAGTGCTTACATATGCTGCTGAGCACAAAAAACTCCACAGCAGGGTAGTACTTGTAAATATAGTCTCTGGAGCTATTTTGTCTGGCTTGAGGAGGTGGGGAATTCTGTCACATTTTAGCAGATAGATTAGTTTCCTGCACCCTAATAGGGGCACATGTGCAGACACTGAGACGTTTACTGTACAGCTAAGTCAGCTCCACAGTAAATATCTCATGTAGACACATCCAGTATCAAACAGAGGTATCAAAACTCACCTTGGGCCTGGAGCCAGATCAGGACCATGTCAGTTTCTCTCAGGCCAGATTGTGGGGACAGCAGCAGCTCTGATGGGTCTGGTGGTGGAGGGAAGGGATCTGTGGGCATCAACATGGATCCAGGATTCAGTGATAGAGGCAAGAGGATCCAGGGCTAGTGGTAGTGAGTCAAGACCTGGAAGCAGGGGTGCCAGTACCCAAGAACTGATAGGCACACACTACTAATTCAGTCCCAAGTTTGGTTAAGACCTAGCTAGGGCACCTCTAAAAGTAAACTGGTGGAGAGTCAGCAAGTAGAATTTTCCTCTCCGAGTTGGAAATAAATAGAATCCACATGTAGCACTCCCAGTCTCTATCTGCTCTGTGTTAACAGTTGTTGTGTTCCATACTGGGTGCATCTACACGTGTAATTAGTGTCTCTTAAGGTTACTGCACATTAAAATAAAGTGCTATAAACTGCATCCGGGCATGCATCTACACGTGCACCTGTGTTGGGATCAAAATTGTTCCCAAGGGAAGAAGTTGAGTCCAGGGCTGCTCTTGCTCCCCCTGCCCTGCTCTGCCCCTCCTGCAGCAGCCAGTGAGTTTGCAGGGGGACAGGGGTCAGGTCTGGGCTCCAGGGAGTTGGGGGGAGCTGTCCCAAAGCAGGGACACTCCCAGCCATGTGGAGCTCAGGATTGCAGCTTGGCTTGGTGGCACTGGCTTGTGGCAATCTCCTGTGGCCAAGCAGTAGCAGCGCCCTGAGGGCTCCCCTTACTTTGCTTGCTGAGGGGACAAGGGAGTTCTCTCTCTCTGCAGCACCAAGCTGGGGACAGAGAGCTCCCTATCCCCTCAGCCCTGCCACTGCAGGTGCAACATATGACCCAGTTGGCTGCTGCTCCCCACCCATGTCTGGGGGGAGCTGGGAGCCATGCAGTGCCAGGACACAGGGGGAAACACGTCTTACCACGTGGTGTCTCCCCTCAGTCCTGGTGCTACTCTCCCTGCGCCCCTTGTATCCCCCTCCCCAGTTCCAGAGCTGTTCAGCTCCCAGGTATGGGTAGAGAGTAGGAGCCGACTAGGGTGTGTCATTTCCAGGACTGCTAAGCATTATGTAAACACCTACTGACTTCTGTGGGCATGGCTGACTCTCAGCAAATAGTCAAGCTGCCAGAGAAAAAAGCATTTGCTTAACCATCAAAGTTCATTAGAGGGATAACACAAAATTGTTATGCAATTGTACTAATGCATGTATGCGTGTGTGTGTTTGTGGGCATCTACATGCATAGAAAAGATCTGCCTCCCTTTTAGATCTTTAAGGATATCCAAGAGGGTTGGCCAACCTGTTGTGCACATATTATAAGTGGCACAGGCATCCTCTGTATGTGGCCACCCATCATAGCTGCAGATCAGGGAGGGGACAGGCAGCACAGCAAACAGGGCAGGAAACAGAAAGTGGAACAGTAGATTGGACAGGAGAAGGGGATCTGAGTAGCACTTGGGAAGAGTGCAGGGCTAACTTGTGACACACCTGCCAAAAAGGTTGGCCCCCACTGATGTACAGAATGCAGCATTCAGAGAGCAGACATAAAAGCATCCCATCTTGAGATTTTCTAGTTAGCCTGCTAATCCTAACCTCCATTTAAATACTCCAGTCTAATATATTTTAACACCCCCTCTTCCAAAAAAAAAAAAAGTTACCTTCCCTCCTTCCCCATAAGGAAAAGATGTTTGAATACAAAACTTTGCATACACTTAACAGCATCATCTCCTAATTTAACTCTTCCTGCAGGACTTGACCCTAGTCCCTTTTCTGTAATACTTTGCTATGCTGTACCTACCAGATCTTGTTCATCTAATGTCACTGGGGCTTCACATGGGTGCAGGCATCTGCACAAAACAACTTTCTACATCAGGCCTTTAGCTTCAAGCTCTTTGGAACAAGACCAGCTCTGTCTGTAAAGAGCAATGTAGGTGCATGGCAGCGTGGAAATAAGGCTTAGTTTGTCAATTCTTTCCTCTGCAATGATGAATAGAGATAAACTTGTACAATTAACATTTTATTGCAAAATATTAAAATAAATTACATTTTTACAAAGACTTATCCAATATTTACATACAGTGTGGTTCCAGTGACAATCAGCGAACAAAGGACAGACCGTATCTCTTCATGCAATGGAGTGACAGAGATGAAATAGCCGTGACTGTACAAACATTAAAAGCTGCATGGAAAGCAGAGACTCTACTTTAAAAAAAAAAAAAAAGTTAAGTGTCACAATTAGAATGAATCCTAGAAAGCATGAAGATTAGAGATAAAATGGGATGCTTAGGCTTCTGTTAAGGTCCAGAGGCTTAGTATTGCTTTTTGGTCTCACGTTATTGAGAATGTTGGTGTAATTTTACCTATACCATGAAAACCAAATGAAGAAAGAAAAAAATCAGAACTTATCCAGGGTGACAAAATGTTGTATATCACTAAGGAGCAGTGGTAATTTAATGACATCTGTTGCCAGCAACAGATTCACATAAATCACGATCACAGGAAAAAGTAAAAATAAAATAAAATAAACTAAGACTCTTTGCATGTTATTCAGTGGTTTCGTACCCATATATCAGATTCATTAGACTCTATACCACAAGACACAAGCCCACCACTGATGTTCATTTGGTCACACTAAAACAGATTTGAATGACAAAAGAAAAAGCAATAAGTGACACACAAAATTGGCAGTGTGCTAAGAAAGAGGAGGGCACCTCATTTGGACTGTAGGAACAAGATTCACCAACAGAACATAAAGAGACCTTTAGGAATTGTCAATGCCTTTTACCTCATTGGCTCATTGTGGCAGAATTGGTCAATGGAAATTGGGCACGAGAAGGGAACTTCATTTGAGAAGGGACCCTCACTCTGATTAATGCCCCAAAGTTAACAAGAAATAGGTGTGTACCAGCAGTCCACTAGAAGGATTCCTGCCCCCTGCTCTCTCCAAATTTATACAGGTGTCTGCCAGGAGCTTTGCAGATTTTTATTAGTAAATGACTATACAATCCCATCTATAGAAATGCACTTATTTAACCAAACACAGCTAGACAGTTAATTACCTCAGCAAAAAATATTTACTAGGCGGCTAAAAAAATTGTTCTCCAAAATCATGAACTTAATTTCCTTGAACTACTTCACATTATAAAGATCTTACCAAACAGCATCTGAGAATTCAAAGAGGCCAAAGGCACTTTTGAAACCAATAGGCCAAAATGTAGGCTAGACACTCTTCTAGTTCACTACTTGGAAATCAAAAAGGCAAACAGATAATGTTAATTTAAGCCTCTAGACTGCTGTTTTTCCTAAACAGGATGGAAGACATGTATACAAAGGGCCGTCTGGCTTGGAACTCCAGCCATTCTGAAATGGCACCATCATTTAAAAGGACAGTGGACAAATCACCCTTTTGCAGAAGGCCTATAAACCAATTTAGTCCCACTTAAATGTTGGATGCATGTTGGATTTAACAACAACATTTCTTGTGCTGGCTCTTCGCACACTGGTAAATTTTGCCCAGCATTAGAGTTAGAGCAAGGCACGTGATTGGCTGCTGGGGAGAAAAACTGTGAAGTGTAATTATGTTTTAAAAAACGCAAACCCCAGGAATTCTGTGTTTAGTTTTTGAAAAATTGATTAGTACCAGAAAGCCCATGACATGTGTCATATAGACTTGATATTCTATGACAGCACTGGCAGTTTGCCAGTGACCCTGTGCTGCATTTAAGCTTGGAAACACAGAATAGATCAAGCCTATCCGCATCTTTAAGTACAAAGGTGCTGTTTGATAAGGAGAACATACAGATTCCAATGTGCAAAATCTCAATATGAGCAGTCCAAGCCAATGGTTACCATGTAGCAGCCAATGTGTTGTAAATGGACACCCTAGCTTACTTCACATGTTCAACCCTCCAGTGCAGGAGGCCACATTTGGTTATCCCTCTTTTTTTACTTAACATAAAATACAACACGCTTGATATTCTGTTTTTAATCTTAGTTTTCCTACTTTACCTGGAATTAACTGTCACTATAGCCTTAATCATTGTAATTTACAATGAAAGACTAGCTGAAAAGCAAGAAATGCTTTATGGAGTGCTTTGTTTGAAGGATGTGCATTTTCCTTAATGAGAAAGCTGACCTGCTACACCAGGGGTCACACCTTCTATAAATGGCATATTGTCTACTATTTCTTTTTTCTTGTTTTTTTTTTTTTTTTTTTTTTTTTTTTTTTTTTTTTTTTTTTTTTTTTTTTTTTTTTTT